ATAGTTTGGAAATTGTGCTGGCCTGTGACATCCAGATGTGTTGGAGGAGACCACGTGGGTGAAGAAATGACGTTCTGTTGGCCCGCTGACTTCAGCCAGGAGAACTCTGTGATCTACAGAGAAGTAAGATCTTTGCGAAGCTTAGTGAAGCAGATGGGAACAATATTGATCTGGCAGGGAGCAGCAATACTTTGGGTCAAAAATGATCAAGTTGTATTAAAGCAATGCAGAGGCAGTGTGAGTAGAGCAGAATCATTTGGTAGAGCTGTAGATGGAAACACTTCTTCCAGACACACTTCTTGATCCTCACTCGTGCGCCGGGTATTGTCAGGCAGTGAGGCTACAACGGTGAACGTGGCACATCCCATGCACAGAAGGATCTCACTGTCTGGCGCTCAGACAAGGTGGAGGGGGCGGAGGGCAGGGGTGGAAATGGGGCCAATGTCCCAAAGCAATTCCAGGAGAGGCCCCAACCCAGCCCGCAGCTTCCTGGCAGGCAAAGGCATTTCAGGGAGAGTGGATGGCATATAGAAAGGCAGGAAATGGCCAAGCGTGTGAAGGAGCTGATGGCATCGGTGGTTGCTTGTCATGTGGAGACATTTGCCTGAAAAGGAAAAAGAACGATAAGTGGGCACATTTATCTTCTGGGTGGGAGATAATGGGCTTGGGGTGTGCTTTGGTTTTCTGTTTATTGTTGTGTTTGCTATTTTGGCTTGGGATGTTTGTTTTTTAATCAGGATGAGAGAGACTTAGCCTGAGAGGAAGTTGCCAGTTACGGTGGGGACGAGGGGTGAAGAAATTAAAGTTGAAACTCTGGGGAAGGGCTAAGGAAATTGTTGAGGTAGTAACTCAGAAGACGGGGTGAAAGGCACAGTGAGGAGAGTCTTTATGAGGAGGAGGGCGGCCCCGCCCTGAGGCTGGTGGAGAGGGGATAAAGATTGCTGTGGCAACAGATACCTTGACAAGGAGCGTCTGGGGAGCTGAGATAGATCATAGCCCATGGCCTCAACTTTCTTAATGCAGTCCAGACAGCACCGTCTGCTAAAAATGGATCAGGGCTTGAGATGAGTGGGGGTGTTTTAGCGGAATCATGGAGGATGGAAAGGGTCAAGTCCAAAAGTGACTCCAAAAGAGTCCCACAGAGGTTAGGGCGCTTGAATTGACAATGACTGCTATCTACAAAGCACTGGCATTTTCTCCAATGGCAACTTGCTACCTTTTCAAGGGGAGGGTGGAAAGAAACAGTGAAATGCAGCTTTAATTCTATGTGGAGGTATTCCTGGTTGAAGGCAATGAAGAAGCAAGAATCTGGGGAACTGAAGGTGCAAGCCAGGAATGAAGGGTGGGTGCAACCAGAAACCCGCTCTGGAGGGGAGATAAGGTGGGAGGTGGAGTCCAGAAGGCGGTGTCACAGTTGAAGGCTTCTGAATGATGCACTCTAGGGAATAAAATGACACAGACAGATGCCCGGTGATGGTTATGGAGTTGCAAGGTTACAATGCGTGTGTGTGTGTGTGTGTGTGTGTGTGTGTGTGTGTGTGTGTAGCTGTCTGCAGGGACCTTGCCTCCTCTGGAGAGGCTATTGCCCTTGGGGTGAAAGCAACTGTGTGAACCAAGGTCTAGTCTTCAGTGAAGAAGGAGGAGAAGCAGGATATTAGACCAACATGGACTTGATGGGCTCAACTGCAGAGGAAACTGCAGAATAAGGACTGGGAGGCAGAGAACTTCTAGGAAGCCAGAGACGGCTGTGCAGGGAGAGGAGGAGGGAGCAAGGGCGGTCCAGTTTTCTATTAGGACCAGGAGTTGGAGAAACGGGGCAGGGGGGTTGGGTAAGAGAGCACAGGAGCAATGGCACGAGGAGGCCAGGGGCTCAGGGCAAGGGAGGAGGAGGAGGGGAAGCAAGGAGACAGGAATGAAGAGTACCGGGCAGCGAGATGGGAGAGGTGCTTAAGGGACCACCTAAGCACCTGCTCTGGGCAAGGCAAAAACTAACCAGGTCTCCACTTCCCTGGAGTTTATACATCAAATCGTTGGTCTTTCACTTCATAACCACAGATTACAGAGAGCAGAGGCGTGGTCTCAAGTGACAGCAAAACTACAGCTTAGCATTTACGTGTTACTTACCTGATTTGCCCTAAACAATATCCCATCAAAATAAATGCAAACCAGAAAGTGCTTTCAGCCTGGAGCAGTCCCAGGTAGTACTATGAAGCTAGTTATGATATTCTTAAAGTATTGCTTAGTTTGATTACAAAATTATTCCAAAGCCATGGTTAGCCTTAAGTGTATGATAATTAACGTTAAATACAAAGCAGGTCTATTACTTTGTACTTGTTTGAGCGTATTTGTAATGTATCTTGGAAGTCAGGCATTTGTGTTGCTTTGGGGCAGTCAGGCATTGTGATTATGAAAGCAATTAAGAGTATGGATCTTAGGGGCACCTGGGTGGTTCAGTTGGTTAAGCGTCCGACTCTCAATTTTGGCCCAGTCATGATCGATCGGTTGGTGAGTCTGAGCCCTGCATCAGGCTCCACATTGATGGTGCAGAGCCTGCTTGTGATTCTCCCTCTCTCCCTCTCTCTCTGCACCTTCGGTGCTCTCTCTCTCTCAAAATAAATAAACTTAAAAAAAAAAAGTATGGGTCTTAGAAATAGACTGGAGGGGGTCTCAGTTTCCATTTGGCCACTTAGTATGTGGGTAACGTTGGATAGATTCTTTAACCTCTCTGTGCCTTATTTGTAAAATGGGCATGATATTAACACATCTGCCGCACAAAGGTTGTCGTGAAGATTCAGTGAGTCACAAAAGCAAAGCACTCAGAAAGCTGTCTGGCACATTGTAAGTGCTAAATAAGTGTTAACAGTTGCTATAATTGCATATACTGTGACATTCTTCACTAGGTATCATATCTTCTATAGTCAATCCTGCTGGCAAAGTACTGGCTGTTCTGTCTTTGCAATTGTAATCCTGACCTAGTAACAACTGTGCCAAATTGCACAAGCAGATAGTAATGTTTGGCAGTGCCTGGAGGTTTGACTGTTAATGGAACAACTGGAATGACTTTTACTTGGCACCCAGCCAAGTAACGAATCCTTTCCATCATTTCAGCAACATTTTCGCCTCCTGTTTCTCTATTTGCAGTGGCCATGCATTAAATACCTGCAAAAAGCACCTTACTTCTTTCTGGGCGATAGGTGAAACTCCTTGCAACATGATTAAGGACATGGGATGTCTGGATGGTATGCTTGTTAACACAGGAGTCTGTTTCTGCCTGTATTTAAGAGAGACACTCAGTCTGGGTTTTGTTCATTAAAGTTTTGCAATCAAGGGTCCCTTCTAGGCGGGGCACCGTGCTGACAACAAAGCAGGAATGAACAGTATTTATGATGTAAATGGTGAGATGCATTGGCCTTATGCACTGCTTTACTCATTCAACAAATATTATAAATACGTCTCAGGCACTGTGCTAGACCCTGGGACATAACGCTGCTTGCTAGACTATCTGCAGATATTTGAATATGAACTCAGACAAATGTGATGAAGAGATGAGTGAGACAGTGGTATGCAAGTGAGTGTTGGATGATGGAATGTGGCCGTGTGAAGGAAAAGTCGTTCAACTTACTCTGCTTTCGTAGGTAGAAACTTTTTTACGGACACGGGGAATTTAGACTGGTGTCGACTGCTGTTCTGTGTACCCTTTGGTCAACAAGATTTCTGACTGGTCTTCATTTTGAAATGCTTTTTGAGCACCGAACTCTTCTATTTCAGATGAGACACACACACACAAACCCCATGCAGAATGCTGCCCTATGAGTGGGTCTGCCCAATACCAGGATAACTGATATATGTTGAAATCTTGAGAACTCCACTCTGTACAAACAGTATCCCTATTGTCATCTGAATTCCTAATTGTCTCGTGGTCAAATCAGTGCCTTCTAAATAATTACCTGGAAATCCTCTAGAAAAAGAAAGTCTAAGATATTTAAAAGGCATGCTTTCACACTTTTGGAAGCAAAGCTTTTTTCTCCAAATGAAAACTATTGCCTACACGAAAATGTCTCTTTAACTTCGGCTTCTTCCTGTAATTTGCCATTGTTGCAGATGGCCTTTAAAAATCTCCCCCGTTCCAGGCAAAATTATTACTGGACTCCTTCAGTCTGCCCAACTGCCCCCTTTAATAATTATGCTTTCTCAGGACCACCATCCCTGGTCCAAGTGTTAGGTCCTTCCACACCATGTTTAAACTGTTATTTACCTCCTTTAAAACTGTTTTCACCTCCACCTGAATAATGTCTCAGGGTGGGATCTGGACAGTATCTTAATTTGGATTTCCCCTTTAAGAAGTCCCTGAAACAAGGATTTGGGTGCAAAGAGCATATTTAGGCTGTGGCCCAGGAAGCGCCCCGAAAGAATGAGGAGGAGAGCTCCCTGAGGGAGGAGGGCCCGTGGAGGACTAGTCAGCAGCCTGCTGGTGGGTGCATGCGTCCTGGCTACCCCTGCTGCAGAACCTCCCCAGAACTCAGCAGTGTAGAACCGCCACTTCTGATGCTTACAGACTGCCTGTGTCAGGAGTGAGGATGGGCACCGGGGCCTCAGCTGGAAAGTTTCAAAGGCTGGGGTGACTGCGCAGCTGGGGCTGGAGTCACCTAGAGGTGCCTCATTCGTGTCTGGTGGTCATGAATGTCGGCTGGGGCTCATAGAGCACCGGCAGGTGGCCTCTGCACGTGGCCTGGACCTGTTCCCAGTGCTGCAACCTCAGGGTAGTCAGACTCCTCCCAAGGTAGAACAGCGCCCCCAGATGAATGTCCCAGAGAACAAGGCCAAGCAGCCTCAGCTCTTCTAATGTCACCTTACAAGTCACACAGCCACACTGTGCTGTTTACCAGCAAGTGGTGATCCTGCCCTAACTCAAGGGGAAGGGAAAATAGAGTTCTATTCTCAACTGAAGTGTGTCAAAGACTCTCCAGCACTTTTTCTAATAATAAATAAATAAATAAATAAATAAATAAATAAATAAATAAAAATTTTTGACACAGTATGGGCAACCATCTTCCTTCTTGACTGGAGGTCAAGGAGAGGGCAAAATATGAATTAACAGGTAATTACAATATAATATAACGCGTAGGTGATGAAAAGAATAGGTACGTACAAGGTATAATAGGATCACAGAGGAGTGGCACTTAGCTTGGTCATGGGTTCAGGCAAGATGGATTAGTGTCAATCAGATGGAGGCAGGGAGGAGATTTCAAGGAGAAGGAATAAAAGCAGCCTCTTGGTGTGTACAGTTTGGTAAAGTGGAATGTGGAGAGGGCGGGTGAAAGCGGAAGTGGAAGGTCATGAGAAGTCTTGAATGCCACACTCACAGGCAGGGTCCTTATTTTCAGGCAATGAAGAGTCATTAAGAGTCAGTGTAAACCTCTAGAGTAAAGATTATGAAAGCCTGAATGAGGTATAGCCGAGCTAAATAGTAGGCGATGGATTTCAGAAGTATTTAGAAAGTAAAATAATGAATACTGGGGGGTTAATTGGGTGTGGGAGTGTAGGAAAGAGAGAAGCCTCGGTTTACCACCAGATTTTTACCCTGGATGCTTGGAGGCAGGCTGGTTCCACTGAGATGAGGAATTGAACAGGATAAATAAGTTAGGGAGGAAATGGTGAGGACCAGGTCCCTGTGGCTATCCAGGTGCTCATGGCCAGTGGTCACCAGGTGTATGTCCCAGTCTAAACTGGGGAGAGAAGGCAGGGCAGGAGATACCAATTTGGGAGTCATCAGCAAATACGAGAAGAATGAGGAAGTCTAAGAAGAATACAAGAGCAGCATTTTTGGCTCCAAGAAGGTGGATGTTGCTAATAATTTGGAGTGGTTCATACCTGGTTACCTCCATCTCCTTGATGATGAAGACAGAGTATCCGTTGAGAGAAGGTGGAGCTGGAATACTGAGAACAATTTTTAAAACAAAGACATACGGCAAATATATATCATAACACAGGAGAAAAGTTTGCTCTGTTGGTGCTGTACAAGTTTTTGTAATTGTTCCTGATGTCAGCATGCCCTCTACTTGTCCTCAGAAATTCTGACACCAAGTCCCATTCACTAAATAGGCAAAAACATTGCTAAAAAGGTGTTAGGGTTATATTGTCTATAATCTTCAGCACCCCTGAAGGAATTGATTTCAATTCCTTCTGATTCACATACATCTTGAATAATCACCAAACAAGAAAATCATTAACCATCTTCAAATTTAAGTCTTCACAAAAAACTTCTATAATGAAATGGAAAGAAGGTTTTTTTTTTTTCTTTTCCCTTGGTGTTTACTGGTCATTATTCCGAAACATCTCAACAATCTATTTGTGTGTTAGTTTCCAGCAGATGATAGGTACCAGGCTTCCTCTGTAAACCTTCCTTACTTTACTTGAGTCTGAATCACAAAGAATTCAGAGTATTGATGCCCTAGGAAAGATGTTTTTCCAAGAGGGGTTGGAAGGGGTACAGAATGTGTTTGAAGACCGAGAAGACAAGATGAACAAGCCTTTCCTTCCTATGAGCAAATGCTTGCCTTACTCAGTAGATAGTATAATTACTGTCCTGTAAGTATGCACAAGGTTTGTTGTTTTGTTTGGTTTGGGTTTTGTTTTGTTTTGTTTTGTTTTTTACCTGTAAAAGGGCTTTTCCTAGTTAAAAGGGTTGGAAACCACTGGTTTAGATAATCCTAATCCATGGATAATCCCCACATCTTCACTTCAATGGCTTCAATTGCCTTCCCCAAGAAGGCTCCCTTCAGAGCTCCTAAGGGTGAGCCAAATGGACAGATCTGAGCTTTGCCCCTTTTAATGAAGCATGGCAAATGACCAAAAGGCAAGCTGCTGAAAGAGAAATGAAAGAAACCCAGGGTCTGGATATTCCAAACTGGCTAATTGGCCCCTGAAAGATAGTGAGTCGTGTGCGAATGCCTCTTACTTCCTAACAGCTCAGCAGGGCCTCTGTGGAAGAATACCACACCAACTGGGGAGTCACTGCAGAAGGGGGATATTCAACCAGGGTCCTTTGTCCCTGTTAGAAGAACTGAAAGCCCCTCTTGGTAGTGTTACTTTGCCATTTAGAGGGCTTGGGGGGGTGAAGGGAGAAAAGAAGGAAAGGGGAAAACTTGCCTTACATTTTCTCTACTAAGTTCTCGAGACTCCTACCAAAATATTAGTTTTTGAGATCTCTTCCTTGTATGGTCTTACAACTGAACCTGACCTAGAATTTAAAAACAAAACAAAACAAAACAAAAAAACAAGACATACAACAGGGTATAATGAGTTTGGAAACGGGAAAGCAAGGAAAAAGAAAAATGTGCCCCAAGTCAGGTTGAAAATTTTAGCGTAGGAGAGCTTGTATACTTGTGTGATTTTGCCTCCTGCGAGGTCACACCAAAGGTGTTTACTGTGGATATTTGCATAATAATACTCTCCTACGTGGCCTTTTCTTACTTAACTCTTAATTAAAAGCACTTCTCACCTCTTTGGATAATTTTTTTTTTTAATTTTTTTTTTCAACGTTTATTTATTTTTGGGACAGAGAGAGACAGAGCATGAACGGGGGAGGGGCAGAGAGAGAGGGAGACACAGAATCGGAAACAGGCTCCAGGCTCTGAGCCATCAGCCCAGAGCCTGACGCGGGACTCGAACTCATGGACCTCGAGATCGTGACCTGGCTGGAGTCGGACGCTTAACCGACTGCGCCACCCAGGCGCCCCACCTCTTTGGATAATTTATAAGCATCTGCTTTTGTGTCAGGTGAAGAGAAGTTCAGAGTGTGCATATAAGCATATTAGAAATCCATAATTTGACCCGCCAAAACCCCCTTTTTATGGAGGTGTAGTATTTGTCAACTAACTGGTGAGTCGGTGCATGAATGTCTTACATAAAGAGCCCCACTGCTTTTCTCCTTACCTCCCCAGATGCCTCCCTCTTTCCTCTTAGATTTACATCCCTTTTCTCTTTGGCCTTCCTTGCCCTCTCTTTCTCAGCCTCTGGAGCCTGATTAGAAGCAAGAACCTAATACTATCCAAAATAACCTACAATGTAATACTTTGCATGCTAAATCATACTCACCTGCTGACCGTGTGACGTGTGAAACAAACAGCCCAATCTGTGCTGGTAACATATGTTTCCAGGAAGTGTTCAGATTTTGCACATTTAGGGGTTTTCCCCATTCAGAGCAAAGATATTTTCAGATTAAAGAGAATATGTATATTTCCATTTGAATAAAGATTGGTCATTAATAACTTAACTGTCCAAAGTTGTTTAAAAGAAAAACACCAAACTTTGGTTGCATCCTTTTCCTCTACCAAAATTAAAAACATCTTAAGGAAAAGTAGGGGCGCCTGGGTGACTCAGTGGGTTACACATCTGATTTCGGCTCAGGTCACGATCTCACAGTTCCTGAGTTACAGCCCGAGTCGGGCTCTAACAGCTCAGAGTCTGGAGCCTGCTTCGAATTCTGTGTTTCCGTCTCTCTCTGACCCTCCCCTCCCCCACCCATGCTCTGTCTCTCTCAAAAATAGAAAATAAAAACATTAAAAAAATTTTTTTTAATAAAAAAATCTTAAGGAAAAGTAGATGAGTCCATGTGACCATCACATGACTCAGATGGGTCATTTTTATGTTCCTTTGAACTGCACCTTTGAATCTGGCGAAGCTTCTTACTTGTTCTAAAGCTTCTGAGACTTTGAGAACACTCTTACAGGAAAAGAGCATGTCCAGTCTGGTAAACAGCACCAAAGTACACACTCGCCTCCAGAGACATCTGTTTGAAGTGAAACTTCCATAGTAGGCTGAAGTTTGTTCCTTTGGAAGTTTCCATAACGGGCTCAGAAAAAAAGTCCCCCTAATCTCGTTCCCATGCATCTACTGCTCATTTGAAGATGAAGATTATTTATGTTAAAGAGCACTGCAGCCCCGTAGACGGCTCTCCAGCGGCAGAGGGCTGAAGGGGTGCCCTGATGTTTATCGCTGCACCAGAACAAGCATCACAGAAATGCAGGGTCCTTGGCTCACCTCCCAAACTCTGTTCTCTCAGACTGACTGCTAGCCACTTTGTAAGTGGTGTTGTTTGAGGAGTACATTTCTCTCTGGGTTACAGTTCTACAGGAGTTGGTATTTTAGCACTCTTCTTCTGGAAAACTTCCCATTTCCCATACTCGCCTTCATCGGATTCCCCTCTTGAAGTAGGAGAACATGGCACAGACCTGAGATTACACATGAGGATTGTTTCCCTCTTGAGGTTTGTGCCCGCGTGTGAATGTATGTGTCTGAGCTGGTTCATGGTTTCATTGGGGGCTTAGAGGGTGGTATAATGTTGGCCAGGATCCTGGAGTCAGTCCCCACACATTTCCCGTTAAAGCAGACTCCTCTGCAGCTACAGACCCAACTCAGATCCCCGCATGGTATCCAATCATTTGGCAATTACATGCCTGTGGCCAGTTGGACAGCATGGAGTGGCAGACCCCAGTCTGGTCTTGCCCTGCCTGTCCTGGCTGTATAACCCAACGTCAACACCCAGCTTCTGTCACCTTGGATGTTTCCCTATTCCACACACATCTGTAGCAATCCCTATCTTTGTGCCTTAGTCTATACAGCATCCCGATATGGGCATGTTCACCCCAGTCTTCACTCCTGACTTGATACTATGTGATGTGATGTTAGGAAGCCTCCTGGACATTTGCACTTAACTCGTTGCTGTTTCTGCACAGTGAGCACTAGATAAAACATTTGCAAGTCGTTCTTGTAGACTAGAGATACAAAACCTATCACCCTAGGTAGATAACATCCAAAATCCTCCTGCCCAGTCTCCTTCTTTATATAAAGCAAGCAAGAAAAAACAAAAACAAGCGGTTGTATGTTCAGAAACTGATTCCCAGATCACACCACATTGCCTGGTTTTGTTTTGACTTTCCGTCTGGATTGTGTGCTCTTAAGGCAGAGACCTGTGTTCGCTTAATTATACACTCCCCTACCTCCCAGCAAAGTGCAGTCCACACACTATGCTCAGCAAATGCCTTGCTTAGCTTCTGGGTGTTCCAGGGTAAGTACCTGCCCCTCCTGGAAGTCCACCTCAGAAAGCACGTACATCACAGGGGAGGAATGACTTTTATGAGCTTCCTGGAAATCAGGCTGATTCCATTTGCTGACTGTGTAACCCGGGACCACAGTTGGGCAGGATCTGCCTGGCTCAGGGGCTCCCAGCCAAGAAGACACTTGGGAGTTAAGTCCAGCCTCTCCTCGGGTCCCCGAGCCCTGGAGTGACACAGCTCTAGCGGAAGAAGGGAGGCCTTTTTCTAATTTGTTAAAAGGTCCCAATATATCACTAAGCCACACATGTATGGGGGCAGTGCCTTTTCCCAGTTTATGGTTTTGTGGAGGTTAGCAAAGTTTCAAGTATAACTTAGGGAGAGAAAATTAGTGATGATCAAAATTAGTGAGCTGATAGAGTCCATTTTTAGTTTTCGATAATCACACACACACACACACACACACACACACGCATAGAACTTGATGTGGGGTAAAAATGAAGATAAATGCAAACCTACATGTTTAAGGACACAGAGCTGCCCAATACTTATTAACATACTCTAAAGGATGTCAGAATGATCCTTTTTCTACCTGTTCATTATTCCTTCACTTACTCAGTTATTTTTTCAATAGATGTATTGGGTTCATACGATTTGAGAATAATCAATTATAACCCAGAAAGAGATATGCAGAGATATGCAGCTTTTCATGCTGCACTGTGGAGACACGGCAAGCATTTCTCTGTGTGGTCAGGCCACTAAAATGCGAGGGAGCCGGACCAGTGAGAAGCTTCATTCTCCCCTTGTGTAATAGATGTGAGTCCAGCTCTGGGTGGTTTGTATGGTTTTGTCCACTGCACTACAGATCCCTGGAAGAGCAAGCAAAACAACTGAAGAGATGTAAGGATTTCTACTTGAGAATAATTTTTGTGTAATCATAAAAGACTAGGGTTGAAAGGGACCTCATAGCCATCTAAGCAATCATTCTCTTCATTTGACAGAGAAAATTGAAATCCGAAAAGCTACAACGATTTAAATGTATTTTATTTTGTATTTTAGAAATGTCAAATTATTTTCAGAAGCATCCATGTCTCCTTTTCCCCCCAGACTCTTAGAAACCAGAAGCATCTACCATAGCTTTGTTTCTCCAATATTTAACATCTCACCCTGGCAAGCAGTAAATCCTTTTAGATAGAGACAATCTCATAATATTGATCTCAAGCCGCATTTATTTCAATAAGCTCATAATAAAAAGTGATATTTGGGGCGCCTGGGTGGCTCAGTCGGTTAAGCGTCCAACTTCAGCTCATGTCATGATCTCGCGGTCTATGAGTTCGAGCCCCGCATCGGGCTCTGTGCTGACAGCTCGGAGCCTGGAGCCTGCTTTGGATTCTGTGTCTCCCTCTCTCCCTCCTTCTCTCTCTGCCTCTCTTCTGTTCACACACTCTCTCTCTCCCTCTCTCTCTCAAAAAAAATAAACATTAAAAAAGATTTTTTTGGGGGGCGCCTGGGTGGCGCGGTCGGTTAAGCGTCCGACTGCAGCCAGGTCACGATCTCGCGGTCCGTGAGTTCGAGCCCCGCGTCAGGCTCTGGGCTGATGGCTCAGAGCCTGGAGCCTGCTTCCGATTCTGTGTCTCCCTCTCTCTCTGCCCCTCCCCCGTTCATGCTCTGTCTCTCTCTGTCCCAAAAATAAATAAATGTTGAAAAAAAATTAAAAAAAAAAAGATTTTTTTAAGTGATAAGCATTGCACTGTCCACACTTTATCATAAATATTCCTCATTTATCCTTTTGGTTTCATCCATCATGAAAGCAAGTACAATAAGATTTACTTGTCTCAGACTCGTAACAGGAATATTGTTAGAGTTTAATAATTTTTTAAAGGAATCCAAGAATCTATGATTTAATACACCCCAATGAATTACTCTTTTTCTTTTGTTCACTGTTAACATTATTGTAGGCGATTTCCTGTGGATATGAGTGAAACAACTGTATGACAAGGTTGACAGGCTAATTAGTGGGTTCAAGATTTTAAGTTTTAATTCTGTCTTTAACATCACTTTTACAAAGAGGAACAGACAGAATCTTGTTATCCTATCTCCCATTAGTTAAGATAACTCTACAATAATGCCATTCACTGATGTCAGACAATCAGCTTGAGCTAAGAATGTTAAAAAGAATTGAACTAGTAAGTGTAATCCTTGAAATTTACAGAAAATCAAGATTCTGTAACACTAATAGTTGAAAAAGTAGATGAGATTTAAAGAGAGTATACCTAAAGAAAGATTGATACTCTTTGATCTTGCAACATTTTACGCGGCCTCGAAACTACTGCAGGAGAATTTCTTTTAGTTATTTCTTATATTCTACATGGTTTTCAATGTTTTATGTTCACTGAATTTATTTTAGATATACCACAAATAAATTATTCAGAATTTCAAAAATGGGCTCTGTATTAACTTCAGAAAATGGGTAATAGCCTTAATTGCGTTTCTTTGTTTTTGTTTTGTTTTTGTTTTTGTTTTAATTTCGCTGTACCTTTTACTGCTTATTCCTGCTTCCTACTATTAAGGTCTTGGATAGTAAGTACCAAACGTTCTAGTCTTCAAACAGTCCTTCTGAAGACTGCCAGCTATTTATAGTTCTTTCTTCTCCATTTTACTTTCATGGGTGCTTTTAAAGCTGTTGGAAATTAAAGGTCACCAAGGCTGAATGTGTATGTGGCAATTTGTCCAAATTAACTTATTACCGTGGCCTGGTGGGTGATGATGAGACATCTGGTCCATTGCTTAGGAAACATCCTCCACGAGAGTGATTTCTGGGAGTAGGTTTAACTACGTTTTTCATCTCAGCAAAACCTCTAGTTATCCCAGGGATTCAACCCATGGATTAATTATTTTTAAATTTTAGTTTAGGGGGATCTGTCCTTCAATATCTCATCTAGTTCTACTGCACAAGAAAATTGACACAAATTAGCTCCAGAATAGCTGGTTGTTTTTGTTTTTTTTACGCAGAGTTAGAATTAC